TAATATACTCCAGGCATGGAGGCAATAATCCCATTACACTTAACTCCAGGCATGGAGGCAATAATCCCATTACACTTAATATACTCCAGGCATGGAGGCAATAATCCCATTACACTTAATATACTCCAGGCATGGAGGCAATAATCCCATTAGATTTAACTCCAGGCATGGAGGCAATAATCCCATTACACTTAACTCCAGGCATGGAGGCAATAATCCCATTTCACTTAACTCCAGGCATGGAGGCAATAATCCCATTACACTTAATATATTCCAGGCATGGAGGTAATAATCCCATTACACTTAACTCCAGGCATGGAGGCAATAATCCCATTACACTTAACTCCAGGCATGGAGGCAATAATCCCATTAGACTTAACTCCAGGCATGGAGGCAATAATCCCATTACACTTAACTCCAGGCATGGAGGCAATAATCCCATTACACTTAATATACTCCAGGCATGGAGGTAATAATCCCATTAGACTTAACTCCAGGCATGGAGGCAATAATCCCATTAGACTTAACTCCAGGCATGGAGGCAATAATCCCATTACACTTAATATATTCCAGGCATGGAGGTAATAATCCCATTACACTTAACTCCAGGCATGGAGGCAATAATCCCATTAGACTTAACTCCAGGCATGGAGGCAATAATCCCATTAGACTTAACTCCAGGCATGGAGGCAATAATCCCATTACACTTAACTCCAGGCATGGAGGCAATAATCCCATTACACTTAACTCCAGGCATGGAGGCAATAATCCCATTACACTTAATATATTCCAGGCATGGAGGTAATAATCCCATTACACTTAACTCCAGGCATGGAGGCAATAATCCCATTAGACTTAACTCCAGGCATGGAGGCAATAATCCCATTAGACTTAACTCCAGGCATGGAGGCAATAATCCCATTACACTTAACTCCAGGCATGGAGGCAATAATCCCATTACACTTAACTCCAGGCATGGAGGCAATAATCCCATTACACTTAATATACTCCAGGCATGGAGGTAATAATCCCATTACACTATACTCCAGGCATGGAGGTCGGAGGTCAGTTCAACTATCCTCTGCTCTTACCCTGATTCTTAACAACACCGATTTTGGACCAGGATTTCTGGATGCTGGCTTTAACATTTGGCTTAATAAGGGCATATGCAGACTAAATGATTTATTTGCTGATAAGATTTTATTGTCATTTGAGCAGATGGTTGAGAAATAGACTCCCAAAGCAGGACTTTTTCCGCTTTCTACAAGTAAGACATTATATTTTGAAGAGCACCACCTTGATTGGCAACCCTGATGTGTCTGTCATTGAAATAATGCTTTTTCTCTCACACAGGAAAATTACTAAATTTGTTTTATGATGTTTAGGGTCCTTTTCTACTGTTGACACACAGAGGGTGAAGCGAGAGTGGGGGAAAGAATGGTCTGTTCCTATTGACTATCTGTAATTGTACCAGAGCAATCCAATTAAGAATAATACACAGATTATAATAATACATAGATCCCCAAATGTCAGACATGCTTTTAGCCCCTCCTCCTCCTCAGTGTCTCTAATGTACAGCTGATACAGGCAGCCAAACACACTGTTTATGGTCATGTTCCAAACCACAAAGATACTTGTCTAATGTTCTTCAAGAAATTGAAAACATCCTAGGGGGTCGACCTAGAATTGGACACAGTTCTTTGCTGTTAGGTCTCCCTAGTAGACGTGTTACTTCTGTGGTTAAGAGGAGGCTTTGCAACACCCTTACCTTCACAGAGAGGAAAAACATCCTCTCACAGTGGATTAATGACCAGGTCCCTTCTGTTAAAGACTGGCATGAGATACTATTTGAATGGTGCCATTGGAATATCTGAATATCTGTACATTACATTCCAAAACAGATCAGTTCTACAAAGTATGGGAACCTTTTTTAAATGACCTAGAACCTGATTTATCAGCTGTTGTGCTGAAAGGATTTTCTTAGAATGGTGATTGTTTACTTGTCTCAGGATTCCACTGTACCTTCCATGTGTTGGACCTAATTCCGTTATATAAACTTAGCTTTTGTGGTTAATTTCTGTCTGTATGTTCGTTTAATATATATATACACTACCGTTCAAAAGTTTGGGGTCACTTAGAAATGTCCTTGTTTTCAAAAGAAAAACGTTTTTTTTTGTCCCATTAAAATAACATCAAATTGATCAGAAATATAGTGTAGACATTGTTAATGTTGTAAATGGCTATTGTAGCTGGAAACGGCAGATTTTTTATGGAATATCTACATAGGCGTACAGAGGCCCATTATCAGCAACCATCAGTCCTGTGTTCCAATGGCGCGTTGTGTTTGCTAATCCAAGTTTATCATTTTAAACGGCTAATTGATAATTAGAAAACCCTTTTGCAATTATGTTAGCATAGCTGAAAACTGTTGTGCTGATTAAAGAAGCAATAAAACTGGCCTTCTTGAGACTAGTTGAGAATCTGGAGAATCAGCAATTGTGGGTTCGATTACAGGCTCAAAATGGCCAGAAACAAATAATTTTCTTCTGAAACTCGTCAGTCTATTCTTGTTCTGAGAAATGAAGGCTATTCCATGCGAGAAATTGCCAAGAAACTTAAGATCTTGTACAACGCTGTGTACTACTCCCTTCACAGAACAGCGCAAACTGGCTCTAACCAGAATAGAAAGAGGAGTGGGAGGCCCCGGTGCGCAACTGAGCAAGAGGACAAATACATTAAAGTGTCTAGTTTGAGAAACAGATGCCTCACAGGTCCTCAACTGGCAGCTTCATTAAATAGTACCTGCAAAACACCAGTCTCAACGTCAACAGTGAAGAGGCGACTCCGGGATGCTGACCTTCTAGGCAGAGTTGCAAAGAAAAAGCCATATCTCAGACTGGTCAATAAAAAGAAAAGATTAAGATGGGCAAAAGAACACAGACACTGGACAGAGGAAGATTGGAAAAAAGTGTTATGGACAGACTAATCGAAGTTTGAGGTGTTCGGATCACAAAGAAGAACATTTGTGAGACGCAGACCAAATTAAAAGATGCTGGAGGAGTGCTTGATGCCATCTGTCAAGCATGGTGGAGGCAATGTGATGGTCTGGGGGTGCTTTGGTGGTGGTAAAGTGGGAGATTTGTACAGGGTAAAAGGGATCTTGAAGAAGGAAGGCTATCACTCCATTTTGCAACGCCATGCCATACCCTGTGGACGGCGCTTGATTGGAGCCAATTTCCTCCTACAACAGGACAATGCACAGCTCCAAACTATGCATTAACTATTTAGGGAAGAAGCAGTCAGCTGGTATTCTGTCTATAATGGAGTGGCCAGCACAGTCACCAGATCTCAACACTATTGAGCTGTTGTGGGAACAGCTTGGCAATATGGTACGTAAGAAGTGCCCATCAAGCCAATCCAACTTGTGGGAGGTGCTTCAGGAAGCGTGGGGTGAAATCTCTTCAGATTACCTCAACAAATTGACAACTAGAATGCCAAAGGTCTGCAAGGCTGTAATTGCTGCAAATGGAGGATTCTTTGACGAAAGCTACGTTTGAAGGACACAATTATTATTTCAATTAAAAATCATTATTTCTAACCTTGTCAATGACTAACATTTCCTATTCATTTTGCTATATTTCCTATTCAAACTCATTTCATGTATGTTTTCATGGAAAACAAGGACATTTCTAAGTGACCCCAAACTTTGAACGGTAGTGTGTATATATATATATATATATCTTCCCCCAGATTCTCAACTAGTCTCAAGGCCAGTTTTATTGCTTATTTAATCAGCACAACAGTTTTCAGCTATGCTAACAATAATTGCAAAAGGGTTTTCTAATTATCAATTAGCCGTTTAAAATGATAAACTTGGATTAGCAAACACAACGCGCCATTGGAACACAGGATGATGGTTGCTGATAATGGGCCTCTGTACGCCTATGTAGATATTCCATAAAAAATCTGCCGTTTCCAGCTACAATAGCCATTTACAACATTAACAATGTCTACACTATATTTCTGATCAATTTGATGTTATTTTAATGGGACAAAAAAAAACGTTTTTCTTTTGAAAACAAGGACATTTCTAAGTGACCCCAAACTTTTGAACAGTAGTGTAGTTCTATGGGTTAGGGTTAGGTTAAACGTATGTATTATATTATAGAGTTCTAATATGTAGTTCTATGGGTTAGGGTTAAACGTATGTATTATATTATAGAGTTCTAATATGTAGTTCTATGGGTTAGGGTTAGGTTAAACGTATGTATTATATTATAGAGTTCTAATATGTAGTTCTATGGGTTAGGGTTAAACGTATGTATTATATTATAGAGTTCTAATATGTAGTTCTATGGGTTAGGGTTAGGTTAAACGTATGTATTATATTATAGAGTTCTAATATGTAGTTCTATGGGTTAGGGTTAGGTTAAACGTATGTATTATATTATAGAGTTCTAATATGTAGTTCTATGGGTTAGGTTAAACGTATGTATTATATTATAGAGTTCTAATATGTAGTTCTATGGGTTAGGGTTAGGTTAAACGTATGTATTATATTATAGAGTTCTAATATGTAGTTCTATGGGTTAGGGTTAGTTAAACGTATGTATTATACTATAGAGTTCTAATATGTAGTTCTATGGTTAGGGTTAGGTTAAACGTATGTATTATATTATAGAGTTCTAATATGTAGTTCTATGGGTTAGGGTTAGGTTAAACGTATGTATTATATTATAGAGTTCTAATATGTAGTTCTATGGGTTAGGGTTAGGTTAAACGTATGTATTATATTATAGAGTTCTAATATGTAGTTCTATGGGTTAGGGTTAGGTTAAACGTATGTATTATATTATAGAGTTCTAATATGTAGTTCTATGGGTTAGGTTAAACGTATGTATTATATTATAGAGTTCTAATATGTAGTTCTATGGGTTAGGGTTAGGTTAAACGTATGTATTATATTATAGAGTATAATATGTAGTTCTATGTACTCACCCCTCCAGCAAAGCCACTGCTTGTTCTGAGGGCGAAACTCTGATTGAAGCGCAGAGGCTCTCCCTCCGCACTGTCCATCCACACTGGACACACACACAGCAGTGTTACAAACACCTAACCCTATTCCTCTGTGTGCGTGTGCGCGTGCGTGTGTGTGTGTGTGTGTGTGTGTGTGTACCTGCTGATGATGAATGCGTTGCGTGTGCATGGCTGAAGACTCCTCCCCCCACTGACTCCACAGGGAGCCTGGATGGCTTGAGAGACAAACAGCATTTATCATATCATCCCTATCATCATCACTATCATCATCCCTATCATCATCACTAGTTTCATCATCATCATCATCATCATCATCCCTATCATCATCACTAGTTTCATCATCATAATCATTATCATCATCATCACTATCATCAAAACGATCATCCTCATCGTAATAAATACAGTCACTATCATCATCATCATCATCACCATCATCACCACTATCATCATCTCACTATCATCATCACCACTATCATCATCACCACTATCATCATCACCACTATCATCATCTCACTATCATCATCACCACTATCATCATCATCACACTATACATCATACACCCATATCATCCATCATTATCAATTAACATATACCACTATCATCATCACACACTATCATCATCACCACTATCATCATCACTATCACAATCACCATTATCATCACCACTATATCACGCCACTATCACATCATCACACACATCATCATCAACCACATACACACATCATCATCACCACTATCATCTCACATATTCACTACATCATCATATCATATACCCACTATATCATCAACCACTATCATCATCACTACTATCATCATCACCACTATCATCATCACCACTATCATCTCACTATCATCATCACCACTATCATCATCACATTCATCATCACCACTATCATCATCACCACTATCATCATCACCACTATCATCATCACCATTATCATCTCACTATCATCATCACCACTATCATCATCATTATCATTATTACCACTATTATCATCACCACTATCATCATCACTACTATCACATCACCAACCACATATATCATCACACACTATCATCACACATATCATCATCACTACTATCATCATCACCACTATCATCATCACCACTATCATCACACACCATCATCACACTCATCACACCACTATCATCACACTATCATCATCACCACTATCATCATCACCACTATCATATCATCATCTATCATTCATTCATCCACATCAATATCACTGTACATCATCATACATCATCACATCATCACTACCATTGACACATATCCACATTTGACATAACTGTCTTTCACAAACCTATCATTTACTTATCCATCACTACCTATCATGCACACCTCATCTTATTCTCATCCACCACTCTCATCTGCACAACCTCTGGCTATCTCCTGCAGTCACATCACCACTGCATTCTCTATCACCCCTTGCATAGTTCTGCTATCCATCGAGCTAGTCTTATCCACTCCTATGCTATGGATCTTAGCTCATCCCTGGATCATGCATATAGCCACTCCTCTGCAATCTGCATTACACATCCCTCATGCTAGGGTCTGGATAGTAGCCACTCCCTTGGGCTAGGATCTGGCTTGAGCCAATCCCTCTGCTAGTGTCTGCTAGCCCACTCCCTCTGGGCTAGGGATCTGGCTTGATGCCACTCCCTCTGGACTAGGTTCTGGCTTAGACCACTCCCTCTGGGCTAGGGTACTGGCTTAGACCACTCCCTCTGGCTAGGGATCTGGCTTAGACCACTCCCTCTGGCTAGGGTTCTGGCTTAGAGCCACTCCCTCTGGCTAGGGTTCTGGCTTAGTGCACTCCCTCTGGCTGGTTCTGGCTTAGAGCCACTCCCTCTGGGCTAGGGTCTGGCTTAGAGCCACTCCCTCTGGGCTAGGGTTCTGGCTTAGAGCCACTCCCTCTGGGCTAGGGTTCTGGCTTAGAGCCACTCCCTCTGGCTAGGGTTCTGGCTTAGAGCCACTCCCTCTGGCTAGGGTTCTGGCTTAGAGCCACTCCCTCTGGGCTAGGGTTCTGGCTTAGAGCCACTCCCTCTGGGCTAGGGTTCTGGCTTAGACCACTCCCTCTGGGCTAGGGTTCTGGCTTAGAGCCACTCCCTCTGCTGGTTCGGCTTAGACCCACTCTCTCTGGGCTAGGGATCTGGCTTAGAGCCACTCCCTCTGGGCTAGTGTTCTGGCTTAGAGCCACTCCCTCTGGGCTAGGGTTCTGGCTTAGAGCCACTCCCTCTGGGCTAGTGTTCTGGCTTAGAGCCACTCCCTCTGGCTAGTGTTCTGGCTTAGAGCCACTCCCTCTGGGCTAGGGTTCTGGCTTAGTGCCACTCCCTCTGGCTAGGGTTCTGGCTTAGGCCACTCCCTCTGGGCTAGGGTTCTGGCTTAGAGCCACTCCCTCTGGGCTAGGGATATGGCTTAGAGCCACTCCCTCTGGGCTAGGGTTCTGGCTTAGAGCCACTCCTCTGGCTAGGTCTGCTTAGAGCCACTCCCTCTGGGCTAGGGATTCTGGCTTAGAGCCACTCCCTCTGGCTAGGGTTCTGGCTTAGAGCCACTCCCTCTGGGCTAGGGTTCTGGCTTAGAGCCACTCCCTCTGGGCTAGGGTTCTGGCTTAGTGTCACTCCCTCTGGGCTAGGGTTCTGGCTTAGAGCCACTCCCTCTGGGCTAGGGTTCTGGCTTAGAGCCACTCCCTCTGGCTTAGACCCACTCCCTCTGGGCTAGGGATCTGGCTTAGTGCCACTCCCTCTGGGCTAGGGATCTGGCTTAGAGCCACTCCCTCTGGGCTAGTGTTCTGGCTTAGAGCCACTCCCTCTGGGCTAGGGTTCTGGCTTAGAGCCACTCCCTCTGGGCTAGGGTTATGGCTTAGAGCCACTCCCTCTGGACTAGGGTTCTGGCTTAGAGCCACTCCCTCTGGGCTAGGGTTCTGGCTTAGAGCCACTCCCTCTGGGCTAGTGTTCTGGCTTAGAGCCACTCCCTCTGGGCTAGGGATCTGGCTTAGAGCCACTCCCTCTGGGCTAGGGTTATGGCTTAGAGCCACTCCCTCTGGGCTAGGGATCTGGCTTAGAGCCACTCCCTCTGGGCTAGGGATCTGGCTTAGAGCCACTCCCTCTGGGCTAGGGTTCTGGCTTAGAGCCACTCCCTCTGGGCTAGGGTTCTGGCTTAGTGCCACTCCCTCTGGGCTAGGGTTCTGGCTTAGAGCCACTCCCTCTGGGCTAGGGTTCTGGCTTAGAGCCACTCCCTCTGGGCTAGTGTTCTGGCTTAGACCCACTCCCTCTGGGCTAGGGTTCTGGCTTAGTGCCACTCCCTCTGGGCTAGGGTTCTGGTGTGCTTGTACCTGGACTAGGCCCCTCCCCAAGGCTGGTCAGGTCAGCATCGATGCTGATTGAACAGCTATTGTCTCCGCTCACATTAGCCAGCATCACCACGTCACCAAAACACACTGCACCTCCCTGAGACACAGACAGGCTGACCTACACACACACACATTAGTTATTTAGCAGCTCTTATCCAGAGCGACACAGTTAATGCATTCATCTTAAGGTAGCTAGGTAGCACAACTCCATATCTCAGTCATAGTAAGTACTTTGTCCTCAATAAAGTAGCTTTCAGCAATGTCAGAGCTAGCAGGAAAAGACTAGTGTGTGATGTCTTGTTTAAGATACTCTGACCTGTTTGAGGATGTTTTCTTTGAGGAAGCCAGTTTTCTGCACCATCAGCTCTCCCCTCTCCTTCCTCTCCAAGAAGTCCTTCAGTGTGTCCTGTGAGGAGAGACAGCTCAGCGTGTGTGTAGGGACAGAGACATCAGTGAAGTCCCCAAACAAAAACGATATTGTAGACAGACTCACCTCCTCCAATGTAACGTCCTCCCTCCAGTTTCCAACACGGACGTTTGGTCTGTATGTCCTAACGTGAGCCATGGTGGTGAAGATGCTTGTTATGCTTGTGTAATTGTGTGTACTTATTGTAAGTTAGCTAAGTAACTAGCTAGTATTTATCCTCTAGCTACCTAGCCAAGCTCTCCAACCAAAACAACTAGACAAGCTCTGTTTAGTCGTCTCCATGGTAACCGGAATGCCGTGATGGCGTCAGTTCCGCTATCTTCCACCAGAGGGTGGACCTGGACTCGTCTATGCAGTGACTTTACACATTACATATACAGGAAAAGAGACACAAAAATACATCCAAAAACACTAATTAAAACAACTTAAAAAGGGCAGTGTTCTCTCACCTCGGCAGACATGGAAGGTGTCAGGATGAACTATACTAGTTCTCTTTTACAGGCAGTTGTCAGCAGTGTTGGGGAGTGTTGAACTATGTAATTCAACTAATATTATAAACTGGGTGGTTCGAGCCCTGAATGCTGATTGGCTGAAAGCCGTGGTATATCAGACCATATACCATGGGTATGACAAAACATGTATATTTACCGCTCTAATTACGTTGGTAACCAGTTTATAATATCAGTAAGGAACCAATACCACCCCCCCAGGCCTTATTGCTTAAATACAGCTACATTTTGCAGTAGCTTGGTGGTAGTTGGACTAAATTCAAATCTTGGTAGTGTTCCCAGGAGTACATTATTTTCTCCCATGTAGCGGTGGAACTAACTACTGGAATTACACAATACTTTTTTTGTAAAAATAAAATAAAATATGGGTGAAGGAATCAGGCAAGAATGTCCTTTCTTTTTTTGCATCAGACCTCCCTTATTCTCACTTGAAACATCATTTTTGTTATCGGGCTGAATTACACATTCTGACTCCAGAGTGATCCATTCTCTATGATATTTCAGATTTAGATATGATACATTTTCACAAAGTAGTTTGTATGTAGTGAACTGCTTTTTCAAAGTAACTTTAGTTAAGTAAACAATATTTGTCTTAATGGTAGCTTTAGTGTAGCTACTTCTTCTAGTGTGACGTAATTGGTCGCTTGGTAAACTATATTTTCAGAGTAGTTTCCCCAACACTGGTTGTCAGTGGATATATTCACCAAGTTCAAAAGTCATACCACTACTGGACCTCGGTTGTTGACAAGAGAAAACAAATAGGAAAAATGTATTTTTTTTAATATTTTTTTTTCTTATGAACAAAAGTAATGATTTTCATTTTATCAAAATGTCACAGTTGTAATAGAATACATCTACAAGCATAGCTCTGTTATTCATGTTGATCTAAATACTAAACATAGAGGGCCTAGTGGGAGTAGATGGCGCCCTATGCCCTTTATAGTGTACTTATTTTGGCCAGAGCCTGATAGGAAATAGGGTGCCATTTCAGATTGGCCCTGTGACTACTGGGGGAGGGGAGCTGTCTCTGTCTGGTGTGGTCTTGTTTGGTCCGGTCCGGTTTGGTCCAGTTTGGTTCAGTCTGGCAGTAACAATACAGTCTGAGGCCTTATCGGTTGTTTTCAATAAAACGTCACAGTAAGGTGCCGAGCGTTAGATTTGCCCCCTGGGGGAGCAAGGAGACCTGCAGCTCCGCTAAAACTATTGACAACTGCGTGCCGTTTTCAAGGGATTGTTAAGGTAATGTTAACTATTTGGTTTTAATATCGTCACCTCTTGAAGAGCATAGTCAGAACTACACATTTCAGATTATTCCACATTTATATCTATCATCAGAGTTATACAGCAAGTAACTGCATGGTTTTAATGATCAGTAAACATCAATTGATCATGTAATTTCAGATATGTCAGGGTAGCCTCACGATATCTCTCAATATTGGCCACCATTAATTGGATATTTGAGTGATATAAAATAAAAGGCTACTTTATCTGACAAGTATGAGTGGTTTAGGTTAATTTCCAATCATTTGTGGGGTCTGCCTGTCAAGCAGCAGAAGGGTGCATATGCTGATGTAACGTTTGTTAGCTGATAATGTTTACTTTGCAAGCTACCGATAGAAACTTTGTACAGTTGGCTAAACATAGTGGTAAGGAGACCTAATGTACTTTTTTCTCCAACCAACGTAGGCTTACCTAGGGAAGTTAGCTAACATTATCCCCTTTTCAACATTGTTTTTAAGAGTGTTTAATCACGATTTCTGCTGACAGACATAATAGGCTACATTAATTGATGGATCACATCAAATTGGGTAACTAGCTAATAACAGATCACGTCAATATGGCTAGTTAACAAGCTAACTACAGATCAGGTCAATATGGCTAGTTAACAAGCTAACTACAGATCACGTCAATATGGCTAGTTAACAAGCTAACTACAGATCAGGTCAATATGGCTAGTTAACAAGCTAACTACAGATCAGGTCAATATGGCTAGTTAACAAGCTAACTACAGATCAGGTCAATATGGCTAGTTAACAAGCTAACTACAGATCAGGTCAATATGGCTAGTTAACAAGCTAACTACAGATCAGGTCAATATGGCTAGTTAACAAGCTAACTACAGATCAGGTCAATATGGCTAGTTAACAAGCTAACTACAGATCACGTCAATATGGCTAGTTAACAAGCTAACTACAGATCAGGTCAATATGGCTAGTTAACAAGCTAACTACAGATCACGTCAATACGGCTAGTTAACAAGCTAACTTTCAGGGGATAAACTAGATGGCTATATCCAAATATTGTTTGATTTGCTTGCCGTCTATAGTGATGTTGACAGTAGTCCAACTGACGATGTCAAAATCTTTCCAAAAGCCTCATCTCTGATGAAGCAAGCTAAATGACATGTTGTTTTCTTTAGCTAGCTAGCTACATAACAAATGGATCTGGCTATCCTCATGATTCTGGAAAAAACCATGATCAATTGATGTTTACTGATTGCTGTAAAACTCTGATGATGGAGCTAAATGTGGAATAATCGGAAATGCGTAGTTCTGACTATGCTCTTCAAGACGTGATGATATTGCAAACAAATAGTTAACATTTCTTTACCAATCCCTTGAAAACAGCACATAGTTGTCATTGGTTTTAGCGGAGCTGCGGGTCTCCTTGCCCCCCAGCAGCAAAATCGAATGATATTGTGACATTTTATTGATAACGACCTATTGTCTCAGAATCACCAAAACCTATTCTCCTTTATCCTGGTTTATTCTCCTTTATTCTCATTTGTCCTGGTTTATTCTCCTTTATTCTCATTTGTCCTGGTTTATTCTCCTTTATTCTCATTTGTCCTGGTTTATTCTCCTTTATCCTGGTTTATTCATCCTTTATTCTCCTTTGTCCTGGTTTATTCTCCTTTATTCCCATTTGTCCTGGTTTATTCTCCTTTATTCTCATTTATCCTGGTTTATTCTCCTTTATTCTCCTTTATCCTGGTTTATTCTCCTTTATCCTGGTTTATTCATCCTTTATTCTCCTTTATCCTGGTTTATTCTCCTTTATTCTCATTTATCCTGGTTTATTCTCCTTTATTCTCCTTTATCCTGGTTTATTCTCCTTTATCCTGGTTTATTCTCCTTTATTCTCCTTTGTCCTGGTTTATTCTCCTTTATTCTCATTTGTCCTGGTTTATTCTCCTTTATCCTGGTTTATTCATCCTTTATTCTCCTTTGTCCTGGTTTATTCATCCTTTATTCTCCTTTGTCCTGGTTTATTCTCCTTTCTTCTCCTTTCTTCTCCTTTCTTCTCCTTTATCCTGGTTTATTCTCCTTTATTGTCCTTATTCTATTTTATTCTAATTTATTATAATTTATCCTCCTTTATTCTCCATTATTCTTGTTTATTCTCCTTCATTCTCATTTATCCTGATTTATTCGCCTTCGTTCTCATTTTTGCTCTTTCATTCTCATTTATCTTGGTTTATTCTCCTTTATTTTCCTTTATTATCCTTTCATACATTTTATTCTCATTTATTCTCCTCTATTCTCTTTTATCTTGGTTTATTCCGCTTCATTCTCCTTTATTTTCCTTTATAAACCCAGTGAATCAGACATGAGCTATTAACTAGTAACTAGTGTGTTAAAGGAAGAACAGGTCCAGAAAGTTCCTACAACCAGGTCGGTGTTGCAGCTGGCCTGTCACATGACATGGATGGATGAAGATGGAGAGATGGATGGATGAAGATGGAGAGATGGATGGATGAAGATGGAGAGATGGATGGGGACCTCCAGGCACACTGATTATGACACTCAGCTGTCCCTCTCTTTCCCCTCCCCTCACACCGGGGTGTCTCGTTTTAGTTCGCTGGGGGATGGGGGGATACGGTCTTCCTGCCGGGTGAAGCTGGAAGAGTGGCTGGGTCTGGAGGAGCTCTCCCCAGACTCGGGACCTCGCTGGCGGGCAGGCAGAGTGGAGCAGCGCCCCTTAGCCCTGGAGCCTCCTGGTTCTCTGCTGGGAGGCCCCTTCAGCATGAACAGTTCACTGGGAGACAGGGGCTTGGGAGGGGGGGAGATGGGGTTAGGAGGGGGGGCCTGAAGGGTGTTTGTAGGGGAGGGTGAGGGGGGCAGAGGGGGTAGAGGTGGAAGGTGGAACTTCGTGAGGCTGGTTGAGTGGCTGGGTCGGGGCCGGCTGTGCCCAGGTTCAAGCCCTCTCTGGTGGGGAGGCAGGGTGGAGCAGCGGCCCTTGGCCCTGGAGGATGCTAGGTCTCTGAGGGGAGGGCCTCTGGGGAACAGCCTGCTATCTGTAGCCTCCAGGCCTGCTGGGTGGGTCTGGGCCAGGGCGGTCTCGGGCGAGTCTGTGTCCCCTGCTGGGGCAGCTGGAGGGCTAGCTGGGTCTGGTGGCTGGTCCTCCTGCTCCTGTGGGGCTGCTCCAGAGACAGGCAGCTCCATGTCAGCTAGGCTCTGGTTCTGGGACGGCTCTGGGTCTGCAGAAAATCAAATACAACTGTATTTAAATGACACTGTACAACAACATAGATATATTAATACAACTGTATTTAAATGACACTGTACAACAACATAGATATATTAATACAACTGTATTTAAATGACACTGTACAACAACATAGATACA